CCGCAGCGGCCACAACCAGACGTGCTCTATGCACGATCAACCATACCATCACACACCCGACCACTACATCCAATGTGCGAGACAATATCACGACGACACACACCCGCTACATGTGTGGGGACACGACCACGACGGCGCCTACCGTCAACTGCCCCTCGCACAACCGGAGGTAGCATACGTGCTACTCATCACACCCGACGGCCCAACTCTCTGGCACCACCACGTACTCCTGTTCGGCTCCGCTGCCAGCGTCTGGGGCTACAACCGCTTCGGCGATGCACTCACAGCACTCGCCCGCGTACTAACACTCACACCGGCCCTGCACTACGTTGACGACTACGGGGCCATACAACCCAGTCACATCGCGACCAGTTCCTTCTCCTCATTCAGCAAGCTCAACTCACTACTTGGATTTCATATGAAGACATCCAAGGAACAACCACCGGCGCCCTCTCACAAAATACAAGGGGTTTATGTCGACCTGTCGGCAACACACGCAACCCTTCGACCGTGCCCAGACCGAGTCCGTACACTGTCACACACCCTGTCTCAGTGTCTCGAACAGGGAGGTATGTCGAACGACACCGCCCGACGCACTGCCGGCAAGTGCAACTTTGTCACCGGACACCTGTTCGGTCGAGTAGGGCGATCGGCGTTAGCCGCCCTATACCACAAAGCACACAGCACTTCCGACCGGATCGACAAACCAACTCGAGCTGCCATTCTGTGCCTCCTGAATATCCTGCAACATAGCTCACCCCGCAGCGTCCCACTGTCCACCAGGCCCAGAGACCTCTCAATCATATACACCGACGCGTTCTGCCGGCAGGGCGAGACGGTCTGGCGTGTCAAGGACGCAGGGGATCAGGATTGTCTGCCACCCGATTGGTCGCACGACAACGGATGGGCAGCGGTGCTGTTCAGCCCACAGGCACAAAGGACCCGCGTGGTCTCGGGCGCACTACCCCCTAACTTACTCCAACAAGTGAGTACTGGCACCAACGCCATTTATTTCCTCGAGGCATGGGCCGCGTTGATCGCTCCTGTGATCTTTCGACCATGGATCACTGACACATACCTCCAGTTGTGCGACAACGAAGCGGCCAAACACGCCATCAGACGGGGAGTTGGGAAACACCAACCACTAAACTGCCTGCTCGGTGCACATTGGACATGGCACAACCGACAGCAATTGCAGTTGCATATTGCCCGTGTGCCCACACATGCTAATATAGCCGACCCCTTCAGTCGACATGACATGTCCCTTGCCTCGAAGCACCACTGGCAGATTCTGGAACCCCCCATGCACGCTCTACATAAACGGACGTGCAAAATCATTGGCGATATTGAGTTCGCCCATACCGTCGGATTTGACGACATAAAGGAACTCCAACAGTTCCACAGGAATCATTCCTCCTGAACCCGACTTGACTTCCACGTCCCGTGAGAATCTTGTCCACAGTAAGGAGACTTGATCGATGTAAGGATGCCTTCAACGTGCCTTTTGTCTAGGTCGTTCGCCTTCGGCTTCACCTTCGACGGGAGTTGACCTACGACGGGAGAACGTCCACTCCCTCTTCGAAACTCTGCTGTACAACATTTTGGGTTTGCATGCACTTGCATTTGCTTACCTTTTATTTGTTGTACTTTACTTTCGAGTCAGTGGTGTCTGAGAGACACGCACACCGACTCCAGAGATTGAAACAGATCGACCAACAGGTACGATCCCACCCACTTGAGGCAGTGCGGTGAAAATAAATCGACCGACGCTGGTTGCCGTCGTACTCTCTGGAGCGGTTTGTTGTTGCGGTTAACACTTGTGTTAAAAGTAACAACCGATAGCGGAAGGCATTTGAATCACACTCAGATTCGAACCTTGAGTGCCTGCAGGATGACACTGCTTGATTCATGCTCCGTTCGCCATTTTGGCGAATTAGCCAAATTTTTCTTTCCCACCCACCCTCACCAGTTTTCACTGCATGCCCTCAGTACCTGTCGGTCTGCATTTATAGCATCGAGTGAGAGGACGGGAGAACGTCCACTCCCTCTTCGAAACTCTGCTGTACAACATTTTGGGTTTGCATGCACTTGCATTTGCTTACCTTTTATTTGTTGTACTTTACTTTCGAGTCAGTGGTGTCTGAGAGACACGCACACCGACTCCAGAGATTGAAACAGATCGACCAACAGGTACGATCCCACCCACTTGAGGCAGTGCGGTGAAAATAAATCGACCGACGCTGGTTGCCGTCGTACTCTCTGGAGCGGTTTGTTGTTTCCATGGCCGCTGAGGAAGATGCGACTGGGTGTACCCCTTGATTGGCACCCTCCGTTTAACGGAGGGTTTTAAATGAAAACCGAAATAGACACACATTTTGTCTGGGGATGCTCTAAAGAACACACACACACCCATCTTCTTCCCCAGCTATGGAATGAGGCCCTCTTAGCCTTGCATTGGCTTCAAGACATCAACATGTAACATGTGTGACTCCCCAGGTATGTAATTCTTTCGATTCGGCACAGAAACATATCCTTTGGGCAAAGTAGAATTCATTCTCCCGAACTGAGCACTTCAGAGTCGCACTCCAAGACTCGATGCTCTAACAGCAGTTGACACATTGAACAGGCGAGGCCCAAGTGCCCTGCCCATCTCGGATGTCCTCTTGTCGTTTTGAGGAAACGAGCTGCGACCGCTCCAAAGGGGTTCATCTCCGAGCTTAGCGCCAGAACTTCCAACAAAAGAAAAGTGGCAAGGCCCAAGGCACCACCTGAGGCAACAGGCACCTCCTTCCAGGTGTGTTGAAGCCATCGATTCTCAGCTTGGACGTCTCTCTCTCTCTCTCTCTCTCTCTGACGGTTGGGTTTTTTTGGTCTTCTTCCGTCAGGCTCCAGGTTGGGAAGGGCATGCCGAGGTTTGGATCGAGAACTTGAGCTCCGGGGTTTGCAGAATCCGCCATGGCCACACGGCATAGCCCCGAGCTCAACACACCAGCAAATTCACAGCCCCAGCCTCGAATGGATTCAATGATTGGAGCACGTGGAAGGATGGGCCCTGTTAGAGTTGCACAAGTGCACGACAACTCCGTTGGTCAAACATGGCCTTCCACTTCCAACCATCATGAAGCCTAATGCAGGGTCCCTAAATCAACAGTAGCTACGCGTGGCTTTATCTAGATATTGCAAGTCAGGTACTGATAATTGTGGCCACATCAGGTACTTCCAGCAAGAGAATCCATCCAGCCGCGGGAACAAAGGGTGTATCAATAAACGACTGGGTACATGTTAGTGCGGTGAATGTCTATGCATACGTACATACACGTATAGCAAAGAGGCCCCAGCAAACCCACCAAACCACCATCATTTGAACGATGTCCGTGGCGTCTCATTGCAACTTCACCAGGTATGGCAAGCGTACCTCATATCTGTGCAAGCCTCGCGGCAACCTTGTAAACGCGCACGCGCACACCTCTGACGACAACATGGTAAAGCGTCCAAATCTCCAGTGCCATCCAATGTGACCTGACCTAGAGGTCGACAGTCCGACCATTTTTCCCATGAAAAAAAATGTACGTGTCAAACAAGGGCGGAGACCTGAATGCCGGCTTCCCCGGTTGCTTTCCCTCTACACAGTCGCCTGACAAGGGTAGCAGCTCCACAAATCACGGCCCAAACAATTCGCGGCACCCCTTTCAGTTGGCTAAAGAAACCGTTGCCAACACAAAAATGGCCAAATCCACCCCGCAGGCGCTGGGTTTAGCCACGCTGGGCACTGAGTGGGCACCACTGGTAGCCTCGCACCTCCTACGGCTGGTGGTTTCAGAGGACGGATGCGGTTTAGGCGGTGGGAACAGGGCCTTTGAGTTGTTGCTACATTTTGTGTGGGTATTTTGGTTGGTTTGCTTCTTTGAGAGTTTCTCTTTGAGCGTGTCTGCCTGTTGTTGTGATATGTGTGTTGGTGTGTGGGTGTGTGTTTCTTGGGCCCCGGGGTTCATGCTGCTTCTTGTTCTGGAATGTGCGCTGTATCCCGTCAAGCACCCTAGAATACCGATTCTTCATGAGCCTAATCAGTCCTACGATGGCTTGTTTAGCTTGAGGAGAGCGGCACTGGTCATCAGCCCATGTATTTAAAAAATATCATAGCTATCATACATGGGCATGTGATGTCTTGGATCCTTGGCGGTTTCGTGCACGCCTGATTTCGCACACCACTGAGCACAGGTTGCCGATGTTTGGCGCACACCCACACACACACACACAACGCAGATAGTTTGCTAGTTCACTGTTTGACACTGTTGTTACATAGGTTGCATGTCACTGGTATATTATGGGTATTACATAATTTACATATACATGAATACACATGTAGTCATGAGGATGCAAATATGCACCCGTATATTTTTATACTGTATATATATATATATACACCTGAATACACATGTAGTCATGTTTACACGTGGCTACTCATTTCTCTCAGGAGCTGCCGGTGGGTTTGGCATCCAAGACAGCGCCCTTCTGCCAGCGCTTGCGAGATCTGGTCTTTCAGGGCGACACAGAGGATCCTTGGGTGTTGATGGTGCTGGATGTGGTGTGTCGATATCATTTGTGGAGATGGTTGTTGCTTCAGCGCTCAATGGCCATGAGGAAATAGGGGCGCCGAACAACTTGTCCGAAATCAATCGGGGAACAAGAGCTATGGACCTTGCAGGTTGTCAAAACGATAACATCGGGGTCCACAACGTACATACATCCCCCGAACAAACCGTGTAGCAAGTTGCCAATGCTCAGGGAGACATCAGTTGTTCAGATCTGGGAGTTCCAGGCTACCAGTTATCTCGGCCGAACATGCAAGTGCGCAAGGGTTTCTCATGCAGGACAAAAGGCTTCCCCGAAGGAACAAACTCAAAGCCTTCAGTGTGGCCCATGGATTACAACGAGCTTCCTTTCAGATGCGCACATTGTCTTAAGCCTTTTTCCACCCGTCTTCCGGGTGGTTTTTTCAGGACTTCTGGCGCCGTTCGGCGCAGCTCCTGCCGCTCTTCCGCGGAAATCCTCCGCGGCAGCTGTCGCTGAAGTCGGCCGAAAACGCGGCCGCGGGTTTCTTGGAGGTGCTGGCGGACATGGGCTGGGCCTCGCGGCTGGAAAGAGCCTGGCCCCGATGCCCCGAGTCCCAAATGGCTGTGGGTCAAAAAATTAATGGGATCTTCATCTCGGGGTAGGCGCACCACCCATTTTAGAACCTATTTGAGTGGAGATTGGGATGATCACTGGGGGCACGGGGTTTTGACCCATGCTCCAATGGTGTTGTTTTCTTTTTAAGGACCCGCTTTTGGTTTTTAAACCCCAACGACGCACCCAAATGGAGATTCCTCTAACAGGCGTGATTGAATGGGGAACCCATGCTATTCGGCGGTGTAAATCCAACAACTTGTTGGGAGTGCTCAAAATATTTAGGCCTAAATCATCGGAATGGGCTTCCGGGTACGTGAAACCAACGTGAGTGATTCAAGGAGTAAACTATTTGTAATTGGTTCGCCTCTTCAATCAGATGCTCATGTAGGGATCCGCACAAGACAGCCAAGGGGAGGCAGAGGTAGCAGCCCGAATTTTGGAGTAGGGTTGAAAGTTGTGTTTGCCTCCCTAGCTTCTTTTTGTTTTGGAATCACTGGTTTTCTAAATATGCCATGTTGAGTGTGCTTGAATCTGAGTTTTTGCGGGTATGGATCATTTTGCCTTTTTGCCACAGGCCCATGCACGACTTCGCAGGCACCCCTACATGGTTGTTGTTGGGAAACATTTTACATGTTTGCTTATTGTGGTTTAGTGGTTGAAATCCAACCACTTACCTGCTAAAATCTAAGTCTTTGCTCCCCTTCCAACGTCAACCGAGAAATGACCCACCGGAGCACCCGCAAACCGAGGAGTTGGAAGGCCTCACCTTGGAGCTGCCGAACGCCGCAGCGCTGGCGCCGCTTTGCCGCTGCAACTTCTCGTCGCTGAGGCGCTGAGGTTTGGTGGGGCGAGGCCATGTTGATCCGTCTCCAAAGCGAGCTTCGATCGGGCGTAGATATGGCAGTGGGTCCAAAATAGGTACCCCAAATGGAACCCTTGTACATGGAAACCTGGACGAAAACCTGTGGTGCCCTGGTGGTTTCATTTTGACCCGGACCCATATGGAGTCAGAAAATGTGTATGTGTTTTTTTCTCTGTGTACCCCCATCTTTGTGAGCCAAGTGATGGGAACCCTGAGCCAAACACGGGGGATGACGAACTTATAGAACGATATTTTGAATGGATGTCCCTTTTGAATGATGATGATGATGATGATGATGATGATGATGATGATGATGATGATGATGATGATGATGATGATGGTAGATGAAGTCTTTTGGAAGGATAAGTATGGTGTGTCGTTTATTTAAGGGACCCCCCAACAACAAAAATGTAGTCTCCCTTTAAGACTACATAAAAAGTGGTACCCTCGAAACAGACGCACCCCTCTGCCCTTGGATGATTCGATTGGGGAGTGCCCCATTTGAAAGGTTATCCTTCACCTTCAGGGAGGGACCGGGTCCCTGGTAGCCTGTTTGTGGTGAACATTCAACAGCGCAATCGGGGACCCCTTCCATGATTGACTGTTTTGTGCCTTTCTCTGTCTGAAAATAGGTTCAGTTTGGCTGCCCAAACCTTTTGGGTGGAGCTGCAATGTGCTTGAAGCTCTTTCGTGCGCTCTTCGTTGGGAAGGCCCGCACAACCATAGCTGTTAGCTGTTAGACATTTGATCGTTGGTGCTCCTGTTCCCCTTTTAAAGCCCCCTGCAAAGGGCGGGCTCCCCTCCCAAATTGCGTGGTTTCGGTGGGACTTGTTTTCCTCTTGCGAGGCTGCTGGCGCTGACGAGTCCGGAAACGGACATGTCTTTGTTGCAGAATCTGCGGATGCCGCAACTGACGCACCTCGACCGGGCGAATTCGGCGGGTGAGGGGGCTGAAAAATCGTCCTTTGGGTCCTGACAACCCCAAAGGAATGAAAACCACAAGGCATTTGGAGCTTTGCCATTTTTACGTTTGCCTTTCAATGGCTTCCACATTTGCCATTTGAACTTTTCCTCGCTTTTGGTTCCCTTCATTTCCCCTTTCGACCAGCCAGCTTTTGGCCTCACGTTGCGGTCAGCGCCCGAAACCAACGCGCCAATGGCTCAGGTTCCTGGACCTCTCGCGGAACTCCCTGTCGCAGGACCGACTCCCTGGTGAGAAACTGATGCCGCACGTGGGTGGTGTTCCGTCTTTTGGAGTTGTTCCAATGGTTGTTTGATTGGGGAATCGTCCATTTGCTGAATGAGCATGTTTGATTGTCCCTTGGTTTTGAGGGGAATATATCTTTGTAAAACCATTCATATCCAAGTTCGCACGGTCCAAATCGCTGTTTGGACGAGCCATATTTTGGGCCATGCGGGAGATGAATATGATGGTTCAAATTCCAGCAAGACCTGTATGCCATAGTGGTTTTCCCTTGAAGATTTGGCGTCCTCCCCCTGTTTGAATGTCTCCTGCACTTTCCAGTCCGGCTTAAGCCCTCTAACTTTGTTGGGAGGGCTTGAACTGCGTATCTCCATATGTTCACCAGCAAATTGTGCGTCAGGTGGGTCATTGGTTCAACTGAAAGATTTGAGTAGTCAGCTGTGCAGCACCCGAGTTGTTCTGCGGTAGTTTCTCTCAAAATAGGATTTGATCTCCCCCAGGTCAAACTGCCACTCTTGGTTTCCTCGTTTCCCTACCCTACCCGGAAACCCCCAACTGCCGGTGTCCCATGTCCAAACTCCCACTAGGCCCCCCAGTAGCTCTTTTACCCTTCTTTTGGGGGGAGGGTTCCCCTACTAAAATAGACTACAGGAAAGAAGTTGGCACCCTCATTCTATGCTTTTTTTGCTTGGGAGGATCTAGTTTCGTATTTTTTTTAGCAGTGGTTGGTTGCGCTCAGCTCGGCCCCTGCAGGAAGACGCGGCGGTGGTGGCGGAGCTGCTGGACGCCTTGCCGCTGCAGACGCTGCTGCTGGGGGGCAATGGCCTGGGCCCGGCAGGCACTTCTCCACGTCGAGACGCTTCTTGAAGCTTCTCGGGCGGTTTTCAGAAGTCGCTGTGGGTCAAAACCTAAGGTGCCTTTTTGGGGATGGGCACTCCACTGTTTTTTGTTTTTTTAAAGGCGTTCTGGGTGTTCATCGGGGAACCGGGTTTTTTTGACCCATAGCCATATGCCGGTGTGGGTCAAAATAGGGTCACCCCTAAATGCAGCCCTGGCGAATGGAAACATGAACGAAACCTGCGGTGCCCTGGTGGTTTGATTTCAATCCCACACCCGGATGTCGGTTTGTTGGTGTTAAATACGAATCGTTCATATGAAAAGTTTTTTTTGCTACTCGTAACCCCCCCCCCCTCTGCTGGACATCAGAACTCGGTGGGGGTTCATGTTCACCAACCACTTTTGAGGGGGCCCAAATAAAACTCATGGCCGACGTATTTGCAAAGTGCTGCGACGCGACAAGAACCGATCGCGACGTTTCTTCGGGAACCGATGGAAGCGACTTGGGTTTGTCTTTTCCTGATCTGGTTGTTTGAGGGTGAAACGAAAGTTAAACCAGAAGAACTGGAATGGAGGGGGGCCCCTGTATGAGGGATCAATAAAACCGGGGGATGTCCCCTCCCCATTCCAGAGGCAGGTGTAAAACAGGGCGTTGGTGCAAATACAGGGAACCCGCCAGCTGTCAGGCAAGCGGAACCACCAATAGCCAGAGGAAGCCAGCAGTAGCTTTCAAGTCAGGGCCTCTTTGCTTTGTTTTTTTTCCCCCGCGGGTGCTGTTGGTACGCGGGAAGCTTGCAGTGCACGTGGTGGGCTAGCAAATGGCAACCTCGTTCTGCAAATGGTAGGCCTTCTCGCTCATGATGCCCTTAAGATCGAAAAGGAGACCCCCTGGTTTGTTGCCGCTTTTGAGTCGCGTACAAGCCTTTCAATGATTGCCCACTTTCTCCTTGTAAACTCATTCAATTGCTCACTTGCCCGAAGCGAATGCTTTCCCGTGTTGGTCTGCTCTCCGTCATTTGGGAAAATGATCGCAACATCACGAAGTGGGTGTTCGACCTCACCCAGAACGGTTCCTTTTTTTGAGGGTCTTCTGCCTGGTAAGCCAAAAGCTTCACCTTGTATTTCCAGGCCTGTTGGACGGCAAAGACCTGTGCAACCCAAAGCCAAGACAAGGTCAATAGGAGACTCTCCCAACCAGCACTGGGAACCGGTGTGGACCATCTGAGGAAGCAAGTCACTTGGGAGGGCACCAAGCTGAGATTTAGAAAGGAAAGTGAGGTGGAGAACTTGACAGACCTCAATTTTGGAGTTTGAGATGGGTTCCTGAAAGGCCGAGGTGAAATAAATCTTCACAGACTTCCCATGTCTCTCTCTCTTTTTTTTGCGCGCAGGCCTCGGGGTGCTGGGTCCCGCGCTGGCGCGGCTGAAAAACTTGGAGCGCCTCGAGGCGGTTGGGGGCTGGTTTTATCGGCGCAACAAAAGGAGACACCGAGCTTAAGACACACCCAAATGATGGGCCCAAATGGCAATCAAGATTTGATGAGCCTGTAAGTGCCCAAATGTCCCCTGATGTCCACGTCGACAATTGGGGTCTTAGGCCAAATGACGGTTTCCCTACCGAGCAAGTTGCTTTCTGTTGGAGGGTCAAAGACATGGTTGAAAAAAATGCTTGCTCTTGGACCAGTGATGGCCAAGCGAACCTTGAGATCCAGTACGTGCTACGCTTTTTGAAGACGGGAGATGGGATTTTGAAAAGGAGCCCAAAAAAAGGCCACGCAAATGAGGGGTTCCACGACAAACATAGAGAAACCAACGTAAGCATCGTCAGAGCTCTTGGGATCGCTCTATGTTAAAGGCAGGCCACAAGGTAAACACAAATGCAATTTAAGTTCAGAAACTCCAAGGTCCGGTTGGCCACCTAAAGCATAGAATTCCGGACCTGAAAGGCTTGGGAAGATCCTGGCAACTCCGTTCTTAGGGTCTACGCGGTCCTTAGCGACCCGCAGAATTGTCGGAATCCCGGTTTGCGGATGGACAGAAACCACGGTCTGGTTTACTAGGCAAGCTGCTGGCACTGCGTTGATCATGGAACCAGCCCTCGCTCGCGCGCGTTCTGGAGGTGTCTCAGAATGGGCTGGGCACCACGGGGCTGGAGATGCTGCCGCTCACCTTGGCGCTGAAGAGCCTGAGCCTGCGGAGCAATTGGCTGGGCCCCACCGAGCTGGAGGCGAGCCGAAAAGCCCCGGCACGGTCGAGTTCCGTTTACCCCACCAATGCACAGCCGGAACCGTTCAACGTTGGGGGCTCCCGGTCCCTTTAAGATCGGAGAATGGTCCAACCCAGGACCCGAACGTCAGGTTTCATGTTTTCATTAATGGGTGGTTTGGATGGGTGAGGGGATTTGAACTCCAGGTCCTTGTGAAAATGGGGGAGGTGCCTCCAAACCACGAAACCAAGCCAGCAAACAAAATTGAGGTGAAACGAATTGTGTTCCGTATGAATACTCAGCGGATTTGTTGCTTCCACCCGACTTTGCCGTTTGACCATTTCCGCCACAAGTGGAGCCCACCCATTGTCGCCTGCTTCACATTGGTGGTCTTTCCCTTTAGAATCAACCAGTAGAAGGGATGTCGGTTTTGTCTCACAGCCACTGGGCAAGCAGGCAGATGAGATGCTCATGCCGAGTGAAGCTCGGTTGCCCAAAGCGAATCCACCTTTGGACCCTTTGGTTTTCCAGTTTGGGTTCTCAAAGTTAACCTTGTATTTCCAGGTGCTTTGGCCAAGCCAGGACGCCACCGTCTCTTTACGCTTAGGGACACCCACTTGGTCAGAGTAAAACTCGCGTTCCCACACCAGGATGTTCTTGATTAGGAAAGAACCTCATGCTGCCGGTGTTTCCGAGTATCCTGTTTGATCACGTTTGTCCAAGACGGGTTGTGGCCGACATCATGAACACAAAACTCCACTAAACAGGGAACCGTCATTGATGAGGGCGGTCCTTTGGGTCAATCCGATGTTAAGATCTCATGTTTGTGTGCCGGGTCGCGCCGCGCCAAATCGCGCCAGGGGCTGCTGAATCTGCTGCGATCCATGAGCTCCTCGCTGACCTTTCTGGACCTCGCGCATCTCGATGTTTTAGAGATCCTGAGAAAAGGAGGGTGTCCCTTTTGGTGTCCGCTTTCCATTAAAAGCCATCCAGCTAAAAGGTTTCCTCAAAAAAAGACACCCAGAGGGTGAGCTAGTTTTGGGCGTCTGGCTTGAAACAGTTGAATCCCTCGACCCCAGTCGTCTATCCTTGCTCAGCTTCAGAGGTGGGCCATCTTCTGCCTTGTTTGATGTGGAGTGGGGGATGTGAGAACGCCACAGGGGTTGGAATCAGACATCTCGGAACAGCTCACAAAATCAAGGATCGTGTAAGGATGGGTTCCAGGCAGAAGGTGCGCGTTGGCAGTGGCTTGTGTTTGGGGTCGACTTTTGCCAAGATGAGCTTTGGAAGATGTGGCCTGTGTAAGGAGACCGAAGCACAAAGCCAGGCTATCCCAACAATAGATCCTGATGTCGGACGCTTGCACCTCGCTTCACATTGCCTTTTGCCCGAGCTCAGATCCGCGAGTCCGAGCTTCGCAGGGTTGGACAAGACTTTTGGCTTGAGCCAACAGAGACATCAGCAACCCAGCTGCAAGTCTGGATTTCAAAACGGTAGGCCTGGGTCACAGGTGTCAGCGCGCCAGCAAGCAGATCTGGCCCCCCGCAAAAAGCACCATGGAGCACTTTTTCCGCTTGCTTTGCTCGGGCTTCTTGTGTTTTATGCGCAATATATGAAAGAGAGAGCGAGAGAGGTAGAGATAGAGTGTTCACATCTTGTTTGGCAACCGTATCAAGGTGCAACACTCCTCATTCGAGGATTCCAACACTTAGTGAGGCACATTTTATTTTGTACCGCCCCTTGGGTGCACTGGCTTCCAACAGCTTTGACACCACCCGCCCTTTCGGATCGTCGGAGCGTTCGCCATGGGCCCCGCGAAAGAGATCGCCGCGGCCATGGTGGCGGCCACCGCGGTGCCGGTGACGCTCAACTGGACCGACGTCATCAAGACGCGGATGCAAGGCCGGGTGTTTTTTTGATTTGAAAGCCCAGGGACTTGGGGTTTCCTTTGGGTCAACCCAGGTTTGGGGTTTGGATTATTGAGAGTACCCCCGTGTGACGCATGGCCTTGTTCCTGTTTGGAGGGCTTGAAATTCGCCAAACATCATGCCGAATTGTGTTCTTCAAGCCATGGTGGAAAATGGCTTTGTGGAAAGGCCGCAGGTTGTGTTGGCCACCAAGGCAGCCCCTTCAAAGTGATACAGTCACGGGAAAGACCATTACTGGTATGTATGCTGAGATCAATGTGGATTTCCCTTTTTCCCTTATTTTGGCGGGCCCATGTAAATTCAACAACAAAGGAAGGGTGCCTCTTTTGTCCCATGGCCACTCTTTAATTGTCGGCGTTCGTTTCATTGGTGGAAGCCGGCAAGTGGCCTGGGAGTGGGGGTGGTTGGCTGATCAGGATGGCTCAGGTTGGTCAGAGTGGTTGTTGTCCTGCGGGCCGACTGTCTGCACCTGAGATCTCGGTTGAGCAGGTCTTTCCAGGTTCGGTTGACTGAAAAATCGACTTGGGCTCGCCCCAGACCGCCCACTAGAGGCGCCGCGGCTCCGGGATGCGTGGCTGAGCCCTACGGAGGGGGCTTTGCCAAGACTGCTCAAAGGATCCTGGCGGAGGAAGGAGCGGTCGTTGCTGTCTTTGGGTTCAGCTCTCGGTTTATCCCGGCCCCAAAATCTTGGAAGACTTCTGGTTTCGGTTGCCATCCACAGATGCTTGGCCACGGATTGCTGGAGATTTCAAGGCGGTACTAGTTTTGAGCCGCTGCCTTGTGCGACTGCTAGAAGATTTGCAATTGATCCTGTTGGTTTCTGTGTTTTTGATTTCTGATCATCCATCCACGCGCCGCTTTGCTTTGAAACAATCCATTGCAGCCCTGTGTGTTTTGTGTGTGGGGTAGCTGGCCAGTCAGGCAACAAGGCGCGGGCAAAGGAGCTGTTCTTTGCGCAGGAGCCTTTGCCCTTTGGTCCACTGGCATGCTGGCATCACTTGGTCCCCGCCTTAGCAGTTGCAGGGTCGTGTGGGTGTCTGTGAAAAACTGGCAGGATGCATCGCAGACCAGCGCACATAGAGCCCTGTCAAGCAAGGCCGTGTGGTCTTCTCGAACTGCAAAGCAATGTGTGTCCTGACAAAAAAATGGTGTCAAAATAGAGCTAGCCCCATGGTCGTTTGCCTTCTGGGTTCCCTTTCCACACAGGATCCCAACTGGCATTCCCTCTCAGGCCGCGAGTGCATCGCTGTGGGCACCCGCATTGGCGCATACCCCGCGGTCAGGGACTCCCTGTCGCTGATTGCGCAGGCCAGCACTTCACGGGCTGAAGACCCCAAAAGCCCCACATGGAGGCCTGCCTGGGAAAAATCCGTCCATCTTTGAGTGAAATTGGCATTTTGGTAACATAGAGTCAGCTTTTGAAACAGCCAGCTCACACACACACACACACACGATCCCACATTCCAAAGCACAAGACATGATGGGTGTCTCATGATGCATCACTTCAGTGCCTGGAGAGTGAGGCAGCTGTCTTGAAACTGCGGCAATGTCACACGATGTGTGGTTGAAAGCAATTCAAAAGCCAGTGGCAGTCCCTCAGGGGCAGAGTGGCGGCGATGCAGCTGGGCTGCAATGACAATCCAAGATGCGATGGAGAGGGATTTGTTGTGCAACTGCCACTTGAGCATTGGGGCCATTGTCCCCTTGCTTTCTCCGCGGGTGTCACCAGAAACGGGACCCCGTTGACGCCAGTGCAGCCTGCGATTCTGACGGTGGCGGAGCCCTCGGCCTTGCAGTCCGCAAGCCTGGAGCTAGCTTTCAGCCTGGAGATAGCAAAGAGCTGAACACATGAGGAGATTGGCTGTGGCAAGTACATCTGAAAGAAATGGCCTGCTGGTTTGTACGCAAGCAAACAGGAACAACTTCCATGGGCGAAGATTGCAGCATTCCAAGACAAGTGCCTTACTCCCCAGATGAACCTGGAACCCAACCGGGTCCCGTGAAGCTGTTTTATGTTTTGGGGGGATCTCAGGTTCTTCGGGATTCAAGGCGGATTAAATTCCAGGGGATGCTTCCCCTCGTCTTCATATCCCAGGCAGGCATCGGCAGCAAATTCTCCGCCGGGGTGGTGCTGGGAGCGCTCTCTGGGCTACTGGCTACACCCTTCGACTTGGTGCGCATCAGGCTGGAAGCGAAGACAAGAAGCGACGTGGGGTGAGTCTTCAAAGGAATCTCAAGCTGGAGGTCGGAAGGAGAAGTACTTGACTGGTTTAAGGTTCAATCAGCATGTAGCCGGTGTCACGAGCCAAAACACGAGAGGACTCCTGTTGTTGTTTTTCTGGAGATGTGATACAAATTTCTTAACTAGCTCCCTCCGAATAGGCCGGTGGGGTGAAGCACTTCCTTACCATGACTGGAGAGAAATACGGGACATCCGCTTAGAGGGCCTTAGGGCTTTGCCATAAGTCGATTCCTGGCCTTCACCCCGCGTACCAATTTTTCAGCAACCTGGGTCGAACTGCATCCCGTCGAACATCTCTCGCAAAAACGGAGATTGTGCCCCAAGAGCTTTGCAAGCGCTCAGATGATCACGGAAAGCCAGGATGTCTCTTTCTTTGAGCTTTGAGCTAACTTTTCAGAGGCTTGTCCAGTGCAGCCGTCGCCTGTCGCAGGAGGGAGATTCGATTCACTGGAGTTTTGGAGGCAATCGCTTCACCCGATGTCTCCTCAGCATGAGCGATGAACGTTGGGTCAATTGCAACTGTTCTCGCAAGTGGCCAGCTGGGTAGGAACATTCTCAAGTTTCCGAAGAGAGCTGTGTTTTCCAAGCGTATGATTCTGGATCCATATGTGTCAAAATAGGGGGACCCAAAAAATCGATGGTGTCCTGTTAGTTGCCCTTGAAAACCAAACACAAACAGGGTACCCTAGACAAAAACACACCCACATGTCCGGTCGTGGGTCATCCCAAACAGATTTGGCATCTTCCAGCAAGCCAGACTTCCAAGTCTGTGCATCGCTGCTTTTACACAAGAGCGGCCAGGTACTCTCAGCACAGCAATGTTCAATTGCTAAGGGAGGAATCATCCTGGGCAAGCCATGCTTGCTCTGCTTCATTTGGACCCGCCCACCATACTCCAATGCAAGGACACCCATACAACCTGCAGTTAGTTTTAAAAGATTTCTAGAATCTGAGTTGTTGCTGGTGTCCAAAGAACCTTCCTTCCTCCCAGCGTTTTGAAAGCCAACCCATTGGTTTCAACAAAATCCCCCGTCCAACGTGAGCCCCAGGGTCCAGGCGGAAGCGGGCAGTGCCAAAGACGGGCTCCTCACCTCCGGGCTTCGATGCGGCCTGCCCCAGCGGATCACCGGCTCCGCGCTTCGGAAGCGAAGCCCACGGACGAAATCCTCGTTCAGTCGCCTAAGGGAAAACCAGTGGAAACTTGAACCTGACCTGTGCTGACCCTGGTCCTACAGGAAACTGATACCACAATGACCTAGTTACCTTATTAACTGCCTGGCTACCCTGGTCCGATAGGAAACTTTACACCGCAAGTACCTAGTTACCTTATTAACTGCCTGGTTGCCCTGGTCCTATAAGAACCTTATGCCATACCTGGTTCCCTACTGTGGATGGACGAAATCCTGCACCACTTTGAAACCATGGGAAACAATTGTTTGTTGGTATTTACAGGATAAGGATCGTTCCAGGCTTTCTCAAGTGGTACACGATTTCGTCCGTCTACAGTATGGCAACTGGAAGCATTCTGTTTTCGGGAAGCCTTGCACGAATTGCCAAGGTCACCGGCTTGCGGGTGGTCCTGGCCGACGGCCTGCCGTGCCTCTTTCGTGGCTCCGGGGTGAACGTGGCCTGAGCCCCGGTGCCGTATGAACCGCCCAGTGAAAACATGTGATTTTCAGGCAGAGTGCCTGCCTGCCTGCCTGCTCTTCAAAAAGTGGCCAGAGCCTAGAACCTGAAATGGTGATTGCCAGTGTGCGAGAGCCAGCCACGCAAGAGCTGCCTGCGTTTGAGGTGAGAAGTATTTGTATGACCGTCGGCACTGTGCCTGTCTATGAGCGCCTTGGTTGAGAGGGAAGGCCTTTCGACTTGCACAAGTGTTGATGGTTCACACGTAGCAACATGCGCGTTCAACAACATCCGTTCGAAGACGCCAACAGATGTTGATTGCACATTGGGCACATGCTGTGTGCTCGAGCGACATCCTAAGCGGGTGAACGTTTAGGTGAGCAGTCGGAGACTAACGAGGTGCGAGTTTATGCGCGCGCATAGAAGCGAACAGAGTCTGGCTCAGGATTTCAGTGCAAAGCTGTCTATTTGATGGCTTTGGTATCCTTCAGGTAAAGCTCGTCCAGATTGTACAACCGCTTTGAATCATCATCTAAATATCATCTTTAGAACTCGTTGTTGTTCGCAGTATGTGAACACAAGCTGTTTTCCCGGTGGTATCCAGCGGCATGTCAGGCGCTTGCAGATGTGATGTGTGGCAGATGAACTGCCTGGGTCGTTCAAACGGTGTTTTTTGCTGAGCCGTTCTATCTCATTTTTTCGGATGCCACCAAGACACAGACGAGGATGATTCGGGAGTTTCAACGGCCTGTGTTCGTTGTTGTTTTCAGAATTTGCGGAAAGTTGTGGGATAGGTTTGGAGAAAAGACCCAACACTGGATTATCCTAGGTCCCCTCAATCGGTTAACCCACAAGCGTGAATCTTACCCCTCAGGTGCCCTTTGCCAGTGGCGACCCTCACAGACAAAGTGAAACAGAATGACCAGAAAGGAAATCCACCCTTGGCAAAGGGCACCCGATGTGTCACTTACACATTCTCGGATGCTCGTCCATTGGATGCTTCCAAGCCCAAGCCCTTCAAGCCCCGGAAAGTGTTCGACACTCGCCACCCACGCCAGCCACGCGTTTGGGGACGCCTCTGTGTGCTTGTGGCTTTCAGGCACACGAAGCACGTGGCCAAGTCCTCCTTCGGCCTGGCCGACGGCCCCTCGCTGCATCTGGGCGCCGGCCTGGTGGCCGGCGTCGTGGGCACCACCGTGGCGGCCCCGGCGCCTCGGAAGCGGACCCCGGGCTCCGGCCGTGGCGGGGAAACACGGAAGCGTTGCTCGTGAAATACGTGGAATTTGCGCGAAGTCGGCAGAGGCTTGAGGAAGATCAAAGAGAAGTTCGGCGGGTTCAAGCAAACAGCTTGGGACTGATGCTGGTTGTTGCCAGACTGTGAATGAAAAAGCCACGAAAATATGTGTTTTTCTTATGAGACCCTTCTGTTGAAGAAACACAATTGGAATGTCCGTAATTACTTTTATTAGAATGAGTATGTTGTTTCCCAGACTCATGGCGTCTTTCATGGTTGTCACTTGTGGCACCGAGCTGTGAGTGCGTAAGAGAGTTCATGGTTGTTGCTATCTTGGTTCTATGTGCGAAATGTAAACCATCATCTTGATGTGCACGTATCGTACCTTGCCAGGCCTTTGGTTAAGTTCGCGTTGGCCCCCGTTTAAAATCAGGGTCAGTTTTGCTCTTTGAAATTGGTATGTAAGTTGCATGCCTATGAAGATTGATTGAAGGCCACTGATGTTGTCAGCCACATACTTATGGCCCCAGCTGGTAATCAGGGAGCTCCACTGCAAGAAGCAACAAGTAACCCGCCTCCCTCTGATCAGCAGATGTCAAAATTGCTGGCGTTAGCTCGCTTGAGGATGGCCGAAGCTTCTGACTCCAGGAATGGAATCGGCAGGGGAGATGGTAGTCACTCGAGGGTGAGCCTTTGTAGCACAGACGTGTCGAGTGGATTCGCATGTTGCAAAGCGAGCCATCCATATCCAGCCTCACACTTGTAAATTGGAGCAAGTTGCCAGGTTTCCCACGGCATCAGTGGCACCCACGATGGCTATTTGACAAGTTTGTCCTGCGCGCTTCAGAAATCTCAAGGTAGCTTAACGCAAGGACTGTGACCCCATTTCTGGAGTGTGAACACGGCACATGTGAGAGCTTGCCGAAGTTGCGGACCTAAAACTGCCTATTTCTGCAAAGCCCACCCCCCCTCCGTTAGATCCCACCCAATAACACCATTTTAAAGCCGACTGGCCAGTGCCTGGCCTTTGCCCTTTTGCCCAAGTCTTGAGCCTATTGAGACTCTGCCAGGAGAAAGGTCTCATTTGCGTCTTTTCGTTATGTAAGTGCGCGTCCGTGGAAGCTGCAAAAACTCACATCAGTTTGTTGCAAACCAAGATTCGGGATCAAAAATTCGCAGGGCCCAAACCGATACCCAAAGCGATGCGCAACGGATAGCCAACTCATTAGCCGCCATGGCGCGTCCAGCTACCCTAGAGCTACCAAAATGTTCTTCGCATACCACACTATACTACACTTGAACGAAATCGAGCCGCAGCCAGAGTGCACGTCATACACACACCATACTATACTTGCACTAGCCGGAGCTGCCAAAACGCAGTTCGCCTTACTGCACTTGTACTGAAAAGTTGGGACTTTCGAGCAGGAGCTGCCACAGTGTGCTGCGTGCACTGCGCTATATTCCACTTGTACTGAACAGTTTAGATTTCGAGCCGGAGCTGCCAGAGTGTACTTAGCATACTTCACTTGTACTGAAAAGGAGGGAGCTGCCATGCCAGAATGTTCTTCGTATACCACTCTATACTACAGTGGCACTGAAAGTTTCAAGCTAGGGCCTGTCAAGGCACTGCAAATCGATGCAGAGGATAAAACCGATAGTAGCTGATGCGAGGGTTTCAGGTTACAAGGGTTGTCCATGGGTTTCTTTGTTGCTCAATTAGGTTTCTCAAAGCCATCAGCCCATTCAAATGTTCGACGTGAAACCACGAGGATGGACCACTTGTCATTGGGTTCAGTGAGCATCCAAACAAGATGAGTGGCATAGGCGCCAGGAAGCTCAAAACTCAAAACCAACGGTATTATTGGATTGGCTTGGGTACGCTTGGGGTGGCACTTGCGGACATGGATCCAACACTTATGTTTAGGCTGCAACTTCTGTGCCACAGGAATCCCTTAAGTTTTGCTCTAATTTCAAGCAAGTAGTCATGGGGCTGGCCCGGTGGCACCACAAGAGGAACTTCGACCATGTCCAACGTTTGTGTCCAGTTGGCTATCGGCTTGCTGCCTGAGGCCGATGTGGTGCGAACCCGCGTCATGCAGGAAGGCGTCCGGGGGAGCCTGACCTCCGAGAATCCGACTTCACCTTGCCTATCCCAAAAACTTTTGTGTGAGAAAGGATTCCTCCCAGTTTGAAGCAGAGGGGCTGCGCTCAATGAAACAAATCGTTTAAGGACCGTAGGTTTCATGTTTGATCGTTTGGTCGGTCTCATAGTTGGGTAGTTGTGGAAAGTATGGATTCCAAATGGCATCCTGTACCACAATAACCGGTCGCCCCCCAATGCAACGTGAAGGGTATCCAAAGGAAGGTTTCGCGGTTAGGCAATCCATTCTCCAGCAACGGTAGGCCTCCGAACCTCAGACTCAACCATTAGATGTTGGACGCCCTGTGTTGAACAGTCAGGGTTACTCAATGCTTGATTGTGGCAAGCAACGAGATTGCAGAACTCGGGATCCCCCTCCCCATTTTGACCAATCCGGTTTGACTGCAATAGAAGGTGGCAAATTAAGCTGCGGCTTTAAGACGGGCTGCGAATATGCGCAGACATTGGCCGATCGATGGAAGCTTACCAGCGAAGTCTCCGTGCCCAACGCCACATGCTGTGGGATGCTGTGGACTTCCAAGTTGGAAACTGATTTGGTCATGGAGTTTCGTTTTCCCAGATTGATATGCTGTTGGGTGGGATACGTAGGCTTTGTTGTGGCTTTTCGACTGGTCAAGCATGATTCGAAAATCCTCAAATGTTCAAAACAAGAGCATTGCTGCTCTTCAAAGGTCCCAAAGCCAGACATGTTTTGAACATGTCTCAATTTCAGAAATGGAAGGCAATTTGAAGGCTTCTCAATCAACTAGCCCCAGAAATTGCCCTTTGCCCCGTGAGGCAAGGGGGGCGCGAGCATGTTTGGCGCTGCAGTGGCTATTGCCCGGGACCATGGGGTCGCCGGCTTCTTCCGTGGCTGGCTGCCTTTCTACTTGCGCGCTCCTCGGCCGAAGGAGCGCCTGGATATGGCTGTCTTTTGTTTGAGGGTTCAACGGGAAACAAGCACCATGTTGGGGGTCCCCCAATAAACGACACATACGAAGATTGCGATATTTCAGTAAGTTCACGAATTACGAACAACATGCAAAATGAAAAGCGGAGGGTGTTCTATTATTATTTAGTACTGAAATGCTGGCAAAATGCCTGCAATAGCACCCAAAAAAGCCAAATGCAATGAAAGCACTTTGAGGTTTACGAACATCGAAAAATAGCCTAATTTCCCATACATCTCCCAACCGGGTTGTTTGGGCACCAAACGGTTTAGGCCAGGTGCTGACATGACGGTACCCACTATTTTACGAGCCTGTCTGAGCTGAGAATCGTGCGCAGGCAATACAAAGGGCTGAACACTTTAAAAACGGCTTCCCCCACATGACCAACATTGGTTGTGAAGTACCCAAGCGCATTCAAATGATTCCTGCCGTTTGCCGTCACCCATTTCATGAATTCATCCCTCTCCCCAAGAGTCTAAACTTGTACCCTGGAAGGCTCGAGAGGCAAATGCTTCGATGCATATTCGAAAAGCCTTTCGGGGAGCTTGCACACCTTTGCAGCTGGGTGTGAGCTTCATAGAAATCCTTGGCCAGACGAAGTCCTACGTGGTGCTTCCGGGTTTTGTTCCAAGCATGGATGGCTGGCTGTGGCTCAAAAAAGTGGTGCCCGTTTTTGGGCCCCTTGGAGAGAAACAAAGACCAACACATGCGTAACCCCGGCTGCTTCATTTTGAGCCACGCCCGGCTGAGGTGGGGCCCCTGTTTGTGCTGATGCCTGCTTTGGTGGAACAAGTTCGTCACCGACTCTTTGGCCTGGGCTACATCGTCTGAGAGAGCACCACTCGGCCCGAGGGTGGCTGCTCGAGATACAGCTCGTTTCGTTTCTATCTAAAGCTGCCTGGTTGCCCAGATTAGCTCGATGTCCACCTTTCACGTTGGATTCTTTGAGAAGATCATGCTATTTTGGGACAGTGCAAATCGCTTGCAGATCTTGTGGGACAACCTTGCAGATAGCAAAAGCTGGTTTGTACAAGTCAGCCCCAAAGAGGGCCAATCAGGGCCTGCACGACGCTTGGTCGCTGGTCCATTGCACTTCCCGCCGAGGCTATCAGGGGAAGAGACGAAAGTGCCCAAGGAAGTGATGCTATGTGTATTTGGTCACACTCAGTATGGAACAGTTTCATCCCCTGCTTGTACAGCCGTTGCTTGACATTTGAATGGCGCGAGATGAATTTCAGACATCAGAACGGTCCTGGTCAAGTGCCCTGGAGGTGCGTAGGGTGACGCTTGAAGCCGGTTTGGTTTGTGACAGCAGGCGGCTCAACCAGTGCTTGCAGATGGCTGTTTGAATCTCTTTGCTTCCTGAGGAGGGGGAATCCCCGAACCCCCTGTTGGTTAAATAGTTTTGATGGGAAACTAGAAGAACATCCACCTTTTCGTTTTTGTGTTTTCAGATCCTTGTTTGGATTGTGAGACTGGCTGGCTGGCTTACTAGATGCAGTGAGCAGGAGATGCCCGTTATGCCGTCAAGCTTGCTTTTTAGTGGATGCCGTAAGATTTGTGTTGTTGGCAGAAATCTATCACAACCATGCCGTTTAAATCAAGTTACAAATGCCTTTGAGGCTCACCCTAAACGGATATCCTACCAATCTGCAGAGCCTTTCTTGGGCAAAAGCCATTTATTTCTGTCGGCTGCTCATATCATGATCTTTGTCAAACAGTTTCAAGATTGATGGTAGAGGGATAAGAAAGACGGGAGCTTGACAGAGCCCATGTACGCACATGATACCGGAGCGGCGTGTTCCATCCAAACCGGCATGACATGCACACAATCTATCCAGATGAACACATTGCCCGGTGCCTTGTGCAAAGCGCAACATGCTCATACTCTGTGGGAGCGGCTTTCACGTCAAAGAGATTTTGGGGAGAAGGCAGCGTATCACTTCT